AAAATTTAGCTGTGTATACCAAATTTCATTCATTTATCACAACGCGATTGAGAGATATTGCAAAAAAATGATTTCCATTCCTCCCTCTTCAATGGGTCCCTGTGCCCTTAGGAAGCATTTCCGGACCCATGTTCATATGAACTTTTTTACTTAGTTTTGATCATAGAATCGGCCTGTTCAGGGTTGGCAGCTAATTATGAGACACCCTGTATATATGGTATTCTGTCAAAAAAATTAATGTAAGTATGACTCGTATAGTCTTTCCGAAGTCAGTTGAACACGTATAAAAAACAGAGCAATAAAATTTAATGAGATTCATACGCGTCCCTAAAAAAGTTTTCTGCTAAAGGTAAAAAATTATAATTTGTATATAATGCGTAGAAAATTTCTGTTATATATTCATTTGGCCAATAACATATTTTAATTACTTATGTCCTCAAACAATTTTATTATATTGATGGTAAATTTCGTTTTGTTCCGTTTCAAAAGGTCTCCAAAATGCCATGTTGTAATAATATTAATAAACAAAATATCCCTCTTATTTCTCCATTTCGCAACTGTAATATGAATGATTAATAGAATGGTGCCTATAATAAATTAAAATTATCTGAATCACACCAAATTCCGCATTGCTACACTGCACTGCCAGGCGACTTGTTGACAACTGAAATTTATGATGGAGACCAGAGCAACTGTGGGTGAACGCTGTTTGCCCGCACGTGCATTCTTCAACTGGGCGTATAAATTTCTACCACCTGCACGTTTAGTTCGATCAGACCGGTATATGGGTATGGCTAAATAAATATGGGAACAAGTTTTTCAAATATTTCAATGCCGAGTTGCTGCGTAGCGACCGAGCCTGGTACATACTCTCAAGTTGTTGGTTCTTCAACTGAAATCGGAAAAAAATATACCTACAACATTCAATTGTTTTTCTAGCCTACCATATTGAATTAACAAAAAAATTTCCTACAATTTTGATCCATACCATTCTGTTCTAAATACGAAGTTACAAAGGATAAGGATTATGTGAATAACCCTGTACACTTTCCCAAAATTTCCAATTTTCCAAACAGTGTAAAAGTCCATCAAATTTTAACACTTAGTTTCATTGTTTTATTTCGAATGATTTCAGAGATATTTGGAGAAAACATCTTTCAAAGAAGCTCTATTCTTGACTTCATATACACTTTTTCTTTTACTTTTAGTCGTAAAAGGCGCTGGTAAAAATATTGCAGCCTAATATCTGTAAAGCTACTCATGTAAAAGATGTTTCAAATGTTCGCCATCCTTTCTGACAAAAAATAAATTATTTACTTTTTTTCGTTTTACCTATGTCAATTTATGCATATTCCTGAACAATCCATTGTCACAATAACAAAACAGTCATAGCTAACATACCTACATACACACTAAGGTAGAGATACTCATATTATAAATCTAGAATTCTCGTTTATCGTAATAACATGTACCTACCTTTGCGACAAAAAAATGTTACTCCGAAAAAGAAGTTTTATTCAACCGCACTGTATATTTTACTATGGTATGAATCAATGTAAGTGACTAAAGCTAATAGAGTTAATATAAAATGTCTGCTCCTTTAATTAAATTTAATAAAATCAATACCATTTTCTGTCCCAACCAGTCCATTCAATAATCATATCAGAATCTAAATAGGCATATAATGGAACCTATTCAATATTTCCTGTTCGAAAAATTCTGCAGTTATTCTTCTCACCAGCCATTGTAGGCGAACAGGCCGGAATAGAATGATAATGCCAGTGAAGTAACTTCGCTCTTTGTGTTGATGAACGAAAAGTGCTCCGTGTGCCCTGCAATAAGTGCAAATCTCGCTGATGTCTCTACCATTTGACGCCCTTTGATACTTCCACCGTTTAACTACTAGTTTCAAGCAATTATGCAAATGGCGACTACTTCACTTTTATATCTCGCGTTAACTGTATACATATTAAATTAAAGATGGATACCAATATAATAGTTTTCTTTTTATAATTCTAAAGACACGTTAAATTCGTTCACTTAATGTGTATTGCCAGTCTATACACAGTTGCTTCGTTTGAACGGGGAAGGTCGGGTGCGTAGTGGCAAAGTGTAGAAAAAGCTCCCGGAGCTTATAGATTAAATGCTGTACATTCCCACAAAAACTAAGGACGCCCACATAAAAATTTCAAAATGCACAGTGTTTAATTCAAACAAATGCACAGCGTTTATTTACTATGAAAAAAACATTAAATATGAGAGTAATGAAATATGTATGCTTAAAATATCTATAACATGAACAAACATTCAATTAAATAGGTATAGGAAATAAATGTATGTCCTTCCTGTTTTCGTCAATCTTCTTATATTCAGTTTTTCCTGTTTAGACTATGTAGGAACGAAATTATTTTGATAATTTTAAAAAACATTTAGGAAAAGTTTTATTAGCAATATTACTTCTGTGATCGTATTAATGACGTCATTTCAAAAATATGTTGTTGATAGTATCAAGATAAAAAAGTGAAGTCAGCCTTTGTCTTTATGTAAACCAGTGTGTTAATAAAAATTATTAATCAGTAAAAAAAGTCATACTGGAGCGATTATATGATAGGTGTTTCCTGAAACACAATACCTACATACAGAGTGTCCGCAAGTTTCACCGACAACGTTTGACTGCATATTCACGACGATAAAGAAATACGATAAAAATTAAATAAAAAATTAGTTTTTGAGTTACAGGCCTTCAAATTTGTCAAAAATAAAACTAATTTGATTAATAACTTCATAACCCTTTTACCGATCGCGTTAAAATTTGGGACATTTATTTGGACCATTATGGCATATTCTTTCTTAAAGTTTTAGTCAAAAACTAAAAAAATTTTATTTAATTTTTTTTCGTAGATCGTATTTATTTATCGTCGTGAATATGCAGTCAAACGTTGTCGGTGAAATTTGCGGACACCCTGTATATCTGAAAAGATTAATAAGACTTCAATTTCAATTTCAATTTCAATTTCTGAAGTAGGAAATCTTTAAAATAATTAAATTATTTTTGTTTTTTAATTAGTTCCATGTATAGAATTTAATATGTAGACGATCTTCACAAAACACCGATATTAATATGCACAAAGTAGTTTTAGTAGAAGAATCAAAGCATGCCAGCATTACTGTAGCAAATATAAATTATAATACCCTTAAACAACTGATATCCTCCAGCTGCTATAATGACAAACAAAGCCAACAGTTTGGCATAGGTAAACACATCCTGTACTCTAGTCGCCCATTTGACGTCGTAACAATTTACAAATGTTAAAACACCTGAAACAAAATCATTTTGTTGTACTACATATAATAAATAATTGTGAAATTATACAGGGCGATTTGCATAAGAACCGACACAGAGCAAGGTCATGTAGAGGAACCCACAATATGACGATTTAACGCAACTTACCTTCATATTAAGCTGAGAAGGTATGAGCTTTGAAAGTGGTGGTACACGGTGTGAGTATGCCAACAGCATTAATCGACAATAAGTAGTATTCAATTGAAGCGTTTTCAAAGGTTGATAAGAGATTGTCGAACCCATTGTCGGACTTAAAAAATTACTACTTTATTTTATGGGGAATTTAATTTTCAATCTTTTCTTACTCTTGTTAGTTTTCAAAAAACTTTGTCGTTTTCACAAAAACACGAATAACTAATAATACGTATTGTAACTGTTATTTAAAATTATCAAAAATTCACAAGCTATAAATTTAAACGTCAAACTTTTTTAACCCGCCAGCGGGTTAAAAATTTCTGTCACATTTTAATGGTGCCTCGTCCCTTATGAATCCTTTAAAATGCTTCAATTGAACTCTACTTACTGTCGATTAATGCTCTTGGTACACTCACACCGTGTACCAAATTTGGTTTTTATAAGTATAACTGAGATATTGATTTTTTTCGAAATTTGAAACTCCACTTTCAAGGCCTATAACTTCTCAGGGGTGCAGCTTAGTATAAAGTTGCGTTAAATCGCCATATTTTGGGTTTCTCTATATGCCCCTGCCCTGTGTCCATAGATTACAAAGGACTCCAAAAAAGTGGTTGTGTTTGTTCTAAAGCAGCTGAGGGTCATTTCCGAAGTAATTTTTTGCGTAGTAGTCGAGGAAATAAAGCACTGAACCTCCGAAATTTTTCGATCAAGTATCAAGATGGGGTTTTTGCATTCGGTTTCTAAAATTATGTAAAAAAAATTTATCAACTTTGTATTATGTTTTTCGGCCAAATTGCATTTGTGCAGTGCAAAATGCATTCAGAAAAATGCATTTTTTAATGTCACTTAGAAAAAATTCATAACTCGATTAATAATGCCTGGAATGGACTCAAATCAAAGTCCTGGGGGTTTTCGAGGTCGTTGATCTCGAATATGACCTTCAAATTGGTCCATCGCCGACCTGGAGCTTAGGATTGATGATGAACGTCATATCCGAGGCTTCTCCTGAATTTCACTCTTAAATGGAACGAGACTTGACACCCGGGGATTTTTCGGGTCCCTGATTCCTAATCTGGCGTCGGCGAGCCCGAATACCTGGTGCACCGGAACCTGGACCTTGAAATCGCCAGAAAAATCAATAAACAGTAAATTTTCAATATATTTTAGACTGCCGTTAATACTGCAATAACTTGTTTGGAATTGTTGATCTCATTTAAAGTATGTAAGATGAAAATAGAGGGAATAAATTGAATGAATGTCACAATGTATACAAGTGTTGTTTCAAAAACAAATCAAAATTTATTTCCAAATCAATTGCCATTTCTAACCTACTCTTAACTGCAATTTAATTTAACTCAAATATACTAACTCCATTTTATCCTAATCTAATCAACTATTAACTTTAATTTGAAAATATTCTACTAAATATCATTTTCATCATCAACTGACGTATAGGGCCCGGCTAGTTTTTCGAGGGCCCCGGTCTGGGGGCCCACAGTCGTGTATACGTCATATTATAAGATGATTTCGAGAAGAGCGCCCCGAAAAAACTCTGATGTGATTTTCGGCTCGTTAACGCGAATTTTACAGGAAAACTCCCGGAGATGACGTCCATGTCCAGGTTCCCCTGCACCAGGTGTCCGGAGGGTGCTCGACGACGCCAGATTAGGAATTAGCGACCCGAAAAAACTCCGGGTGTCAAGTCTCGTTGCATTTAAGAGTGAAATTCAGGAGAAGCCTCGGAGATGACGTTCATCATCAATCCTAAGCTCCAGGTCGGCGATGGACCAATTTGAACGTCATATTCGGGATCAGCGACCTCGAAAACCCCCAGGGCTCTGATTTGAGTCGCCGAAAAACATAATACAAAGTTGATACATTTTTTCCACATAATTTAGAAAGCGAATGCAAAAAACCCATCTATACGACTTGATCGAAAAATTTCGGAGATTACGGCTCTTTTTGTGCTTTATTTCCTCGACTATAGAGTCCGAATCCGATCTCAGACCTGCTCCATCACGTCACGCTTCCGAGATATCCTAACCTAAAAGTGCAAAAAACGCGATTTTTTGCTATATTTGACCTTATATTACATCGCGAAAAATTTTTTTCTGAAAACGAGTAATGTCATCTAAAAGTACAACTCTTACCCTTCATAATGCCATTTTCATATAAATGAAGTTTAGTTCTTTATAAATTTCATAACAGTAGTATCAAAATTAAAAAAATGTTTTTCGGATAGCGAATGGTATACTAGGAGATCATTGATGATTTTTTAGAATATTTATTCCTACGCATTCCTAAGATGCAGCAAGTTAATATTCTTTTACCATTTTTTTATTTTTTAAGAAATGTACGCTATTCAATTAATTTGATATCAAATTGGTACTGAAGATTTAAACCTGCTAAATATCTTAAATTAAATGAGAATTTATACAGGGTGTCCGGTAAGTACCTCTTAATCTATCGGGAGTGTATAGGGGAGGTCAAAATAAAACTAGTCCTTCCTATAATTTTTTTTTCCTAATGTGCCCCCTAACGGAGTTATGGGGGGTCAAAGGGGTACCTAGAAATTAACGTTTAGGGTTATAACTTTGAAACCACCCTGTATATTTTAATAAAATTTTCGTACGTTGTATTACACATAGAGCTCTACGATTTGATGCTAAAATCAACTTTTTGCTATTATCAGGTGTCCAGAAACGGACTGGCCCTATCACAATTTTTCTCAAAATTTTGACAGAAGTAATTTTATCAAACTGAAAATATTATTATTAGATACTCTAAAGGTTTTTCTTTAAAAATGGTACTCTTTATTTATTTCGAAAAAATGAACGGTTTGCGAGATAAATCGGTTTTGAAAAAAATTGGTAACAAATACAACAACAATTAAAATTATTTTTTTTTACATATTATTTCATGCATTTAATTTCTTTAACTTTATCAAGTCCAGAAATCTTTGAACGGGTTGGCTATACTTTATGAGCAAGTAGTGACCAATTAAAAATAACATTTGAAAAATAACTTACTTACAAGACATGCAACAAAGAACATTCAACAATGAACAAAGGTACCTAAATGTTACTTCGGTAGATGTTCAAAATGAGCACCCCGTACTTCAATGCACTTTCTAATCCTACGAATGTTTTCCCGGTGCACTTGAAATAATATTCCGTGATTATTGCGGAGATGGTCACAGTTCTGTGTTAGCCTCAGCAGAAGTTCCTCTCTACTATTTACGGGTGTTGAATAAACGTTATTTTTTAAATGACCCCACAGAAAAAAGTCTAATGGGTTTAGGTCGGGCGACCTAGGTGGCCATAATACAGGTCCGCCTCGACCTATCCATCGATCACCAAAAACATTCGTCAGATGTTGACGTACTAAACGATCAAAGTGGGGTGGTGCACCGTCATGCATGTACCACATTTCAGTTCTTATTTGAAGGGGCACTTCTTCTAACAAAATATTTAGATTTTCCTCTAAAAATTGCAAATAAAGAGCACCATTAAGTCTTTGCTCCAGAATAAATGGACCAATCAAATGATTCCCGATAATGCCAGCCCACACATTCACCATAAACCTTTGTTGGTAGCGAGTTTGAACTAAAGCGTGAGGGTTTTCTTCATCCCAGACATGTAGATTATGCGAATTAATTATGCCGTCTCTTGTAAAACCTGCTTCATCGGTGAACAAAATAGATGTACCAAAATTATGATTCCGAATATGATGCTGTAAAAACCAATTGGCGTATTGAAGTCTTTTTGGATAATCATCTGGAGACATAGCATGTACTTTTTGGATGTGGTACGGGTAAAGCAATTGTTCTTTCAGAGTTTCATGTACAGCCCATTTTGTAACATTGTTTTGCGCCGCAAGCTTCCTTATGCTATTTGAAGGATTATTAGCAACGTCTTCCAATATTTGTTCCTCTACATGAGGGTCTCGTACTCTCCTCGGGGCTCCTGCTCCACCACGGCGTGGCAAAAAGCTTCCTAAATAAAGGATTCGGAAGAAATTAGTTTCACTAACGTTTTTCACTATTTTTTTTTACCTGTTTCTCTTAAACTACGATCAACTCTTTCAAAAGTTTTTGGACTCGGCAAATGTCGACCCGGAAACCTTTCCTCATAAAGTCTTCTTGCCTCCACGGAGTTGCATAATGCTTCCCCATAAATTAGGTGCATATCAGCATATTCTGCACAGGAATATTCTTCCATTTTTAAATGTTATTTCTAACGGCTTAAAACGAATACCACAATAAAATTGAATTTTTATTCTGTCACGCGCCTTTGACAAGTACTTTAAAATCAACAGGGTCTAACAACGAAAACAATAGAAAAGAACTCCATGGAGACAAGAGCAATAATAATTTGTAGATGTATTTTGGTCATAGATGTTGATTTTACAAGAAACGGCATTATTCATTCCCTTAATTCACCACCAGTAAATGTTTATGGTGAATCTGTAGGCTGGCACTAGCGGGAATGATTTTATTGTAAAAAAATAAATTTTAATTGTTGTTGTATTTGTTACCAATTTTTTTCAAAACCGATTTATCTCGCAAACCGTTCATTTTTTCGAAATAAATAAAGAGTACCATTTTTAAAGAAAAACCTTCAGAGTATCTAATAATAATATTTTCAGTTTGATAAAATTACTTCTGTCAAAATTTTGAGAAAAATTGTGATAGGGCCAGTCCGTTTCTGGACACCTGATAATAGCAAAAAGTTGATTTTAGCATCAAATCGTAGAGCTCCATGTGTAATACATACCCCTTTGACCCCCCATAACTCCGTTAGGGGGCACATTAGGAAAAAAAAATTATAGGAAGGACTAGTTTTATTTTGACCTCCCCTATATACTCCCGAGAGATTAGGAGGTACTTACCGGACACCCTGTATATTGGTATTAATTTAACCGTATATATGTATACTCGTATCAACTGCAATGTTTAATAAACAAATAAGTAATAATAAATCATAATAGCAAAATATATGTGACGAACAGACAGAATTAAATAATTGTGGTCATACGTTTAACAAGGTTTAACCTCGTTATTACTTAATAGACTTATTCGGCAATAACATAATGTACTAGTTCATTTTATGTTTCATATTTCACAGTAGACAACTATGCTGTAGGCGGTTACTTATCCGAGAGACACTTAATTGCCTTTGGGAAAATCCCTACTAAAAAGTTTCAGCAGATTTCTCCAGATACTCATTTGGCTGAAATAAAGCTAATTAGTTAATGTCACCAAGCAGAAATTTATCCATGATTTAACATTGTCCACAGTCAATAAAGAAAGGCAAGTCCTTGTTTTCCACTTAATTGAAAATATTCTTTGCGCTAAACTTTGAGAGCTCCATAAATTCATTATTTCGAAAGGGAACAATGATGAATCTGGTTGACAATAAATCTATAAAACGTTTCCATTGTTTATTATTATCATTTTATATTTTGGGAGAGTTCCAGTTCTGAAAATTATAGCCGAATGTATAAACTGAACCAGAAAGATAAAAACCGCTTGAAGGATATTGAGGAAGGAGAAATATATATGAATCACTCACGAGATTATTTTAATTCTATGCAAACTGGAAGAATTTGTAAAATACGCACATGAGAAATAATCAATAACTTCAATTGCATTTGTTAAATGGATTTTTGAATTACGAATATCTAGTCTTAAAGAACGGAAGGGTAGCTTATGCAAATACTCATAGTACACTCCAATTTATTCCAAAGAAAACTCCCTCAAACCGAAAAAAATTGTAAATACCCACATGAAAAGTATGCAATGGATGAGAAAAACTTCAAATACATTAGTTAAATGCATAATTGAAATTAAGTATATCTAGTCTTAAAGAAAGAAGGATAGTTTTTGCAAATCCTTACAAAGGGTGTCCCAAAATTCACGCAAGATATAATTTTGATAGAAAAGTTTTTATTGATTCGTAAAGTATAGTAAGTATAGTAAGTATAGGGTTATATATGGAATAGTATATCGGGTAAATGACCTACACGGCTTTGTTGACACATACGCTCTATTTTGTCGACTTTTTTCATTACCGTTTTGCATAAATGCAGTTGAATTTCGCTGATACTGCGCTCAATTTCCTCCTTCCAAGCGTGGACGGTCGTAGGTTTGTTGGCATAAACTTTAGACTTCAAAAAACACTAAAGGAAAGAGTTCAACGGGGCGCGGCGTTAAATTTCTTGATCTGTGCGGCCAATTCTAATCACCGAAACGGGATATTACACGACCAGGAAATAACTCAAATAGAAATTGAATTCTTTCTCGGGCTGTATAGCATGTGGCACCGTCTTGTTGAAACCATCACGTTAACTATTATTGCCTGACCAGTCGCATTTTCGAAGGAGAATGGTCCGATGATGCCTCCAAACAGTGACACATTGAGGATGCATTTGTTTCGCAACAACCACTAATGGATTTTCTGAATCTCAAATACGACAATTTTGTCGATCTATTCAAAAAATCAACATCTACTTGTTGTTGTTCCAAAGTTCAACAAACTTTTTTCGCTCTGCATGGTCGGTAGACATGAGTCAATCGAACTTCGTAAGCATGAAGATGCAATCTTTCATGAGAATAGGCTGTAGAAAGCTGTTCGAAATTGATGTTCCTGGACCCTCAGTAACACTGTCACGAACACTTCGATGCTTTGTGTTGAACGACTTGTTGAAGGACGACGGAGAGCGTTCAGACTCCCTGAATTGTTCACTTAATCATTTCACAGTTGATGAAATTGATTGTAGCTTCCAAACCTTCATTAGTTTTAAAATATTGCTTAACAATGAAAACGCGTTGTTCTTTCGTGCAGCGCTCTACTTTTAATAATCCAGATCTGTCAACTGTCACGCTGCCTTTTTTTTCGTTGACAACACTTTACCGCACAAATAGTGTAAAAATCAAATCTTGCGTTAATTTTGGGACACTCGAGAGTTCATTCTATTTACTCCAACGAAAACTTTTTCAAAAGGTCATGATTCTTCGTCCTTCTAATATCAAGCTTCTATATCACATACTGAAGACGAATTTTTTAACTCGCAATGTCCAATAAAAAAGAAAATTCTTGTTATTATCAGGTTGCAAGCCATATGTGCGGCTTTCCGTATCTGATAAAGGTATTCTGAAAATATATCTGAAAAATTTTGTGATAAAAAACAACTCTTCCATATCCAATCCACTTTTCATTTTTCCTTAATCACTTTATACAATATAGAAGGATTTATCTAAATATATCGTATTAGCGCAGTATACAGCAATATAACCGCTATTTGTGTTTGCCATAAATACATCATTTTAAATTTCCGACATCATTATTTCATTATTATAAAGAATTACTCGTCTGAGAATTTTTTCTAATGTTAAATTTGTCACCTATTCTCCTTAATTTTTCTTATAGTAAAGTTTCTTTGTCAGGCAAAACTATTTAAAAAAATAACACTTGACTCCTTCTATTGGTGTAAGGGTTTGATTCATTAATTTTTATTTTTTTAAGTTGGCAAAATACCAAAATAAATAAAAAGAAAATATAACTGCTAACCAGATAATATGAACTCAGGACATGGAGGGATATTATAAACGTCTGATGAATATTGGCCTGCTAGAAGAGATAACTCGGAAGCTAGAGGTTATTCGAAGGAGCCACTGTTAATTCTGTGAAGCCTAATGAAAATGTTAAAATTAGATTGGATATGATAACAGTTTTAATTTTGATTTCATTGGTTTCCAGATCTATTTCCAATTTGAAAAATTGTCTATGGACTATGCAGTTCAGTATAAAAATCGCATACAAATTATTTTGCAATTTTTTTTCAAAATTGTACATATAATTAATATAAAAACTTTAACGTGCGCATCTCTACATTTTAGACAAGTGGACAATCATAAAGAGCAGACATAATCTCGCAACATTGATGCAACAACTTAGTTGGACAGTTCAGAAGATCAAGAATCATTGTCGATTCCTAATGTTTTTTTTTTGCTTTCTTAATAGAACGTGACAAATAGAAATCATCATACATATTTTAATAATTATATTTATTAATTATAGAAACCTGTAAAGATGTATCTTTTATTCGATTTATTTCGTTTTTTTAATAGAGCTTAAAAATATCTATTATATCACATAATATTTAAATTTATTTTCAAATATCAAATCTAACCTTTTATTTCTTTTTTCATTGTCAAATTTGACAAAACCAAATTCCATGTAAAAATATTCATTGCTAATTGTAATATTACATTAATGGTATTTAACCATTCATAAACGGAGTAAACAATCTCTAGAATCACAAATAAACAAATGACGAAAAATACAAATAATGACATAAACCATAAAAACATACACAAAAAATGCAGCTTCAATCTAAAATTATTGAAATTTTTCTCAAACCTCCATTTTATTCATGTATTTATTACATGTCATTCAAACATTTTTCGTAATAGTTCTTAAATATTTAGGAAGTACATTTTTTATAAGTCTCAAATATTATCTTCTGCAGTTTTTCTTTATTGGTTAGACGTACTTTGTATATTTCTGATTTAAATGTACCTCACAGCAAAAAGTCTAACAGATAAAAGGAGCAAATTAGTTATTTCTTTATTTATGATTACATATACTATTTATCCTTTTTAGGAAAAACAGAAATGATAAAACACATTAACTTAATATTACAATTAACAATGAATATTTCTTCATGAATTTGGTAAATGAAAATTAATAATTAAAAAAAAAACAAATTGAATTGGACAATAAATATTTTCTACAAAAGTGTTTCCATTTCAAATGGTATAAACATTTATTTTGTGCAATTCACGGAGAAACTATGAGCTACAAAATTTCAACTGATAGTGAAAGATTGCCTTACATTATCTATAATCGAACTTCAATTTAAAACTCCATAAAAGTGTAGAAAATATGTATTACAAGAATTTTATAGAATGAATGAATGTTCCAAACTAAGTTCATCAGATATACATTTGTCGTTTTAGTCTTCACCTTCACCGTCGGGATGTAATACCAGCAATCATGAAGTAGCCCTACGCATATAAGTAAATTTTGAGATATTTACACTTACATATACAACACACAGCCAGTAATCTAGCAGCATCATCTGGAGGGTCGCACTCGGGGAAAAAGGGTTTCATCACATACTGACTAAATGTCAATGCTACAATAGCTTGCGAACAGGGCCTTACAATCATGCATTCAATCCACAAGCGAATAAAGGCAACGAATGGTCCGAAAGTTTCCATGATGTAGGCGTAATCGGCACCGCTTTTCCGGATCATCGTTCCAAGCTCGGCATAACAATACGCCCCCACCTGAAAAAGAAGAATATGACAATTCGGTAAAATGTTTGCCTATAAATACAACTCAATAAACAGCGTTTCTGCTGTTACTGATCTATTTGCAGAACACCTTCTGACAGATTAAAACCTATTCGCACTATGCATACCGTTACGCTATGGTGCAAATGAAAGGAATAAATTCATTATTTCGTAAATAGTTGACTTTGAACAAAAATTCTGAGACAGGTCAATTTTTATTTAAAAAAATGCGTTCTATGAGATATTTGTTTTACATATGACGTCATCTGTGTGCAGCGATGACGTCATTGATGTTTTTGTTATACTTTTTTCCTGGTAAGATATCTAATAAATTTTTACCTGCCCAAAAGTAAATGACATAAAAACCCTTAAGGAGAATAAAATACACATCACATTACATTACTAGTTTCTTACTTGATTTTTTGCCTTTTCAAAAAACGTAAATGTATTATCAAGAAGGGTATATTCGAATTGACTTAATTCGCGTTTCTGTCAAATAGTCAATGTATTAAAACTCGTTTTTATCAACATTAGTCTTTCTCAAATGGAAAGAATTGACATTCTAATTGGTTGGAAGACGATTTTGATACACGAGTCAAATTTGTGAAAATAACCGAAATCAGATATTTCTAAAATCTATTTTTCCTGATGTAGTTACATTCCTCCTAAATAATCGTGTAAACTGTCAGTCACTGAAAATCGACATGGACGCAGGAGTATTACACTCAATGCTCAAAGAAAGCGAATGTTTGTGCCGAAATAATAGATAATAGGATTATAGGACCATACTTTTTCGAAGGAACCTTAACAAGTCCTCGATATTTACAGTTTCTGCAAGACGATTTGAATCTACTTGTTTGCATCAACTTTAGCAAGATAGTACACCTCTACACTATGGTGTATTGGTAAGAAACTACTTGGGAAACGTCATTCGAGACAGGTGGATTGCAAAGAAGATCAATTGGATATCCATCTATATCTCCAGATTTAATCTTTTAGATTTCTTTTTATGGCGATACTTAAAATGTAAGAGATACCAAAATAGACAAAATCTACATTATTCATTCAAAGAACGCATTCCGACGAAGATGGCACAAATAACTCAGAAAGTTATAGACAAAGTTCGGGAAGATGCCTAAGGAGACTATCATCTTTGAAAAATTGAACGTATCAGTTATCAATCAACTACTCAAGAAATTAGATGCTATGAAGATTATTCATACATATAAAATTCCATCAAAAACTAACAAGCGTCGTCGAAATTAGAAAAGCTCTAAGGAATTTCAGCTGTCAAAAATAATGTGACATCCCAGAGAGCCTAAATAATACTTTATATTTTCAAATTGATTTTCCTAAAATGTTGGATCAATTAATTTGCTCTATTTACTCAAAAATTAAATGTACGTGTTGAATCTATTCATCAGACTACATTTCAATCAAATAAATACGAATTTATATAAACTTCAATTATTCTGATTTTCACCCACCCTTAACTGTTAAAAATATACCTAACTTAGTAATAGTTTTTGGACTTTTAACCATGAACGCTGCATTCTACGAAAATAAATGCTTTATTTACAAATAAAATAAGGTTGTCTGCGATGTCAAATTACTTTTATTTCCTGTTAGTTCAAACCGTACAGAACTTTTATAATTCTGACCCTACTAATTAGTTTTTAGTAAAATTTTATAAGACCTTGAATAATTAGATCAAAAACTGTGCCCAACCGTATAAGGTTTAAAGAAACCTTGGAAATCATTTTAGAATCATCATGTTTTGTTGTTTGTTTGTTTTAAAGCTGAATTATCACCGAATGTTTGCCGTAATACCGCTGTTGCACTATGTATCTATGTAACTGTAAAATATTAATTTAATTAATAATAGAGTTGAGAAATTTATGTACTCTCATGTCAATATCAAATTATATATTTGCAAAGTAAGAGCATTAAATTACAAAATAGTGTAGTGTTTTACTGACCTCTCCAGTGCAAAAAAAACATTGGTCATTGGTTTTATAACGTTCACGACTTCTAGACTTTTAGACAAAATAATTGAATACAAGACTAGAAATATACCTACGTCTCAATGACCTTTTTAAATATAACATACAATACATGTTTGCAGATTTTGAACAAAGTATTTAAAATACTTAAAAAGTTTTCTCCAACTTATATACTCGTAGGTACACATTGTTTCGTATTTCAAAGAATAATCGAGAGAATAGGGGATACTCTCAGGAAATGCCACCTGGTATATGTACAGAATTTTTTTTAAATAAAAAGTTAACAAAACTTACTTTACGCATATTCCCAATATGATTTCATTTTCTCAGAGGCGGCGCGTGGCGCCGCGGAAATGGTGAAATAGTACAACATATGTTGTACTATTGTTCTATTTTTTTTAAGAACGGCATTTTAACCCATAGTAATTGTTATTGACATTAATTATACAGGGTGGCAAAATATAGTTCCACAACAGATTATTTAGGCAAAAAGACTTTCTAACCATTAACCAAAATTTGTAAACTAAATTACTCCCCTATATTTTTTTGAATACGCCTATGTTTCAAATGTATTGGTTTTGGATCAAGCATTTCTTTCATATAATTTTCTCACCCCACCCACATAAAATTTTTATTTGGAGCTTAGTTCACAATATGTGACTTCCTTGAAAACGTTATATGAACTTATTTCATATTTTTTTATTTCTCATTTTTTCTTAACCAGTGAATTAGGCATTACAAAATTATTTTTGCATGGTATCGATTCGAATGTTTCTGCTTAATATTTAACTGCCAAATTAGAATTGGGATTATTTTTTTTTTAATTGTCATTAGCACAAAATACAGAGCCTAGCCCGAGAATAACAACGATAAGTCAAAGATTCCTAGCTAAGTCTAAGGAAGTGAAAGTTAATTCGGTTATTGGCGACAATCAGTTACACAGGCCAGGGCATAACAACCGACTAAGCATCGTACTTTAAAAATATTTTTCGATTCCTTATATTTCTTAAATCTCGAAACTCCGATCAAAAATTCAAGAAAGCTAACTATAGGTGAAAATATTTTTAAAAATTTACTACTTGGTATAAGAAACAATATCTTTGAAAAATAACCATGTAACTTGCAAATAAAGAAATGATATATTTGAGCTAATTATATTTTGTGCTCGAGATTTTCAAAGTAGCATTAGCACTCCTTCATTTAAATACACCTCTCTATAACATTTTAATCGTTCTTTTGGAATATCTGTTTTATTTTTTTTACAGAATGTTTCATAAATTTTATATTTTTTTCTGCTAGAATATTTTTTTAATTTGTTATATTTGACTGTGTAATATAATGTCTATGTTTTATACAATATTTCGCTAAACAACAAGAAGTAAATATTTTGTCTTTGCACCGTGATGCGGGCTTTGGACGTACTGTATTCACTTTTTGACGTTCGAAGTGGGAAACTGAAAAGTAGGGATAAAATCGTAAACTTATGCAAATAATGAAATAAATATTACACCGAATTATTTTCTAAAGCATTACGTAATAATATTAATTATTTTAAAATAAAATGAACATCGATTGATCAGTTGTTATAGAAAAACCGTATAGAATAGATTATATTCAGACGATTATACAGGGTGTCCCCAGTTCGGGTTGCCTATACCTGAAATGGATACAAAATTTCAATTGTCAAAAAAAATCATTCTTCATAAAAAATTTTTGCTTGTCCAGAAACCCTTGGCAAGATAGTCATTTGTTCAATTTAATGTACAGGGTGTACAAAAATTTGGAAAAGATAAAAACAGTGAAGAGTAAAGTACCTTAAATCTTAACGTTGCGCGAAAAAGTAATGGGGAAAAGTTGCTTGGAATTAAATTTTATTTTTAAATATGAAAGCATGGCCTTCTAGTTAATACTAGACATTCTGGGATATTCTAGGACTGTACTTATTTTTTAATACTTTCGGAGAAGCCATTCTATTTAAAAAAATATTGCTTTATTGAAAAACAGATACACATGTTTGCATATTAATAATTTATTTTTTATACAGGGGGATCAAAAACCTCAAAAACATTAAACCAACATTTATTTTGAGAACACAGTAGAATCAGTATGTACGCGCCATTACAACACTATTCTACATGAAGTCCGCCAAGTTCAATACATCTCTCCAATCTTTTTCTAAATGCAGCGTAGGTCGAATGTATAATTTCTTCATTTACTTGGGCAATAGCTTCAATTATCCTGTTTTTCAAGAAATCAACATCGCGTTGCACTGGTTCTCTATACACTCTTTCTTTTAAGAAGCCCCAAAGAAAATAATCAAGCGGCGACAAGTCAGGGGACCTTGCTGGCCAACAAATAGGACCATATCTTCCTATCCACTCCTCTCGAAATTTTCTGTTAAGCCAATTGGAGACTAGAATTGTTGAGTGAGCGGGACATCCGTCTTGTTGGAAATGCGCTTTTTGTCTATATTCCAAACGTTCTTCTTCTAATTCTGATCAGAAAAACATGTCTAGCATCTCCAGGTACGTATATTTATATATACTTTATTCTTCACTATTTTTACCTTTTCCAAATTTTTGAACACCCTGTACATTAAATTGAACAAATGACTATCTTGCCAAGGGTTTCAGGGCAAGCAAAAATATTTATGAAGAATGATTTTTTTTGACAATTGAAATTTTGTATCCATTTCAGGTATAGGCAACCCGAACTGGGGACACCCTGTATAACGATTTAAAATTACAAAAATCCGAAAGAAACTTGGCACATGCTAGATTATCGATTGCACGGAGACAATTTATATCGTCCCAATCATATGCGTGAAAAGTGAGAATACGTTTATTTAAAACAGTTAAAAATCACTTTAAAATACATAAAATAGGTACGTTACTCCTTTTCGATATAGATAATTTGAACCAATTTCAAAAACATTTGAAATAAACATTTTTACATACAACGTTGAAACTGAAAATAAAAAATGGTATTTTG